TCGATTTGGGTCGTGACAATTGACCAGTAACTCATTCCAACATTACTGTAAGCAAATGTACCAATTTCTAATTTTCTTATTTCAAAACACTGTTGTTGTTGTTTTTTTTTATTTTTTCCTCTTCAAAACCAATATTAAATGAATACTAACAAATATTGTTACACATTAATTAAAACAGATACTTATCACGGTAAATTATTTTCTTTTCAACTCACACACACACATACTAATATGTAGACTCTAATTCCTACAAGTCCAACCTAAATATTCATATACATACTAATTATAATAGGAAAATGTAATCAAAGTCACCTGAGGTTACGAGAATATCCTTCGGAGTGCAGCATGAATGTGAAAATAATACAACAACGTTCTTTTGCTTGCTACCTCCCCTAAGTAGTTTTTGCCAGAAAGTTTTTTTTTTGTTTTATGCGTGTCTGCTGCTGCTATTGTTAGCAGCAGCTTTTAACCCTTTTTTTTTCTTTTCAATTGGGCTTAGCCCTTTGTTTTTTTCCCTTTCCGAACTCGATTTCCTTTATGTCTTTCTCTACCGGGCCCCATTCGGGGTTTTTGTCCAGTACCTCTCGCTTCTCGAAGAAGAAATCCATAAAGTCCTCGGTAGGATTGGCAGCATCCCCCCTCAAGGCACGATTCCTAGTTGTTATTATTATTATTATTATTATTATTATTATTATTATATTTTTCTTAAAATTAAGTATATTTATTTTCCTTTTATTATTTTATAAAATTTAATTAACTCTTAATTTATTTTAAAATTTATAGCACTCATTTCTACAAGTCATAAATTATTTATAAAAATTACTAAAATAATTAAATTTAGATAAATGGGTAAAATTCATAAAACGACTAAGGGGATCGTTATAAAAAAGTAGATGTGGTAATCTTTTATATCAAAGCTGCAAAGCAAAACAAGAATTAATATCATAACTTATATGCAGTTGTAGTTTCACATTGTTTACAATAAATTTTAAAGTGACGAACAATAAATTTTGATCACAACTAAATAAATAAAAATATAATTTTATTGATTAAAGTAACAGATATAATTCTATTGATCCCTTAATTCTATTATTCAAAAAAAGAAATTATTAAATCAAGTATGTGATCTAGTTAAGGTAAGTTGGAGAAACATACCTTCACATTATATAGTAATTTTTAAGAAATAGAGAAAAGCAATACTAAATCATGCATGGTTGGTTGACTGAATTATAAAGAATTCACATCAAGTTTGAACTTTGTTTAAAATTGTTCTCTCCGTTCAGTATTATTTGTCATGATTTCTATTTTTAAAGTCAAATTATAAAAATTTTAACTAACATTTTAAAATATATTTTTTATCATATTAATATAAAAAAATTTGTAATTTATAGTACTTTTTATATAGTTTTAGAATATCTATTTTTTTGTTTAAAATATCGAATTAATGTGATCTAATTTACCTTTGAAAATTAATCAAATTAACTTTTGATAAACACAACATGACAAACATTTCTGAATGGAAAGAGTATAAATAAAACAGAATCAACAGAAAACAGAATATAATGTTCAAGAAAATCTTTTTTAATTTCTCCCAAGCATATATGATATGGTCGTCAATTAAAAAAAATAATTATGACAAGATATTTTAATATTCACGCTAATTATTTAGTTATGTACTTTGTTTATCTTGGTGAATAATTAACAAAAACAATACAAAACTAATGTGAGTTATGGTGAGATTATTCGATCACATTTGCTATAAAATTGTGAATTACATGGAGATGTTTATGGAGATCATTATGAAAATCAATACGAAATTTATTTTCCTGCAAATTTTCATACTAATTTTCAGGAAAATCCCCATGTAATTTATACTTTTCTAATAGTAATTGGGATAATGTACGAGTACCCTCTCAACCTATGTCCGAAATCTTAGAGATACACTTATTCTATACTAAGGTCCTATTACCCCTATGAACTTATTTTATTAATAATTTTCTACCCATTTTCGACCTACGTGGCACTATCTTGTTGTTCCAACGCTGGTTGACTTTTTTTTTCAAGTTAGTGCCACGTAGGCCAAAGAAGTAGAAAATTACTTATAAAATATGTTCAGGGGTAATATGAACTTATTATAGTATAAGTGTGTCTCTGAAATTTCGAACATAGGTTGAGGAGATACTTATACATTTTCCCAATAGTAATTCTTTTAGTTTTTTAAAATTAGAAGTATCATATTCAAATTCTTAATGCCGCCCTCATAAATGAATCTTGCAATACATGAATCTAAATTAAGCCAGATCCCAATAACTACCGAACACTAAATTTTCTTTTAAAACATAAAATTAACAGTTCAACCACAGATTACACAAACAAAACAAAGATGGGTCATAAAAGATTGAACATTTTAACTGCAATAATAGGGACATTTCTGTACCCTCCCCCCTAAACTAAGTAAAATTAAGATAACTAATAGTTTAGGTGTCAAGTTTATTATGGTCTTTAGATATTTTGTAATCTTTCTTTAATCACGATTAAACTAATTAATTGTAAAAGTTGATGATATTAAAATGTTCTTACTTGTAATAATAAAAAGATTTACAATTGAACATGTTAAGTAAACCATTTTACTTTATCAACACTCTAAAATTAAGGTCGACCAACATAGCAAAGAGGAACTCATAAGGTGACCAAACTCAACATAGAAAATGACATTTTTTCTTTCATTCAAACAAATTTCAATTAATCTTTTTTCTATATATAGTTCCCTAAATATATTAATAATAATATCCTCAACAAATATATATATATATATTTTTTTAAAAACCAAAAACACACAAATGGGCTACTCTTATTTGCTATTTGGATTTGCCATTTTATGTTTATTGCCTCAATCAACATTTTGCATTACTAGGCATTATACATTCAATGTAACAAACTTATAAACTTGATTTTTTCCTTTTTTTTTCCTAACATCATTGAAACTAACTACATTTTTGTTGTGTCGATAGATTGTAAAACACAACGTAACGAGACTATGCACCACGAAGAGCATAGTTAGCGTGAATGGGCGTTTTCCAGGCCCTCGTATTATAGCAAGAGAAGGTGATCGAGTGATCGTTAAGGTGATCAACCAAGTTTCCAACAACATATCTATTCATTGGTAAGAACTTAACAGAACACTAAAGTATCGAAAAATACTACATTTGTAATACTATATGTTATAGTACTATACTCATGTTTTGTGTTGTGCTAGGCATGGAATTAGGCAACTTGCAAACGGATGGGCAGATGGACCAGCATATGTTACACAATGTCCTATACAATTTAACAAGAGTTACACATATAACTTCACGATCATCGGTCAGAGGGGAACTCTGTTCTGGCATGCTCATATTTCATGGCTTAGAGCAACAGTTTATGGGCCTATCATCATCTTGCCACGACGTAACGAGTCATATCCATTCAAGAAACCATACAAGCAAATTCCAATCATGTTTGGTAAGTATATTATCATAGTAAAACAGTAACATTAGTTGACACAAATGTTGATGTTTTGTTTTTTTTGTTGGTTTCAGGGGAATGGTGGAATGTTGATACTGAGGCTGTAATAAATCAGGCTCTTCAGACAGGAGGTGGACCAAATGTTTCAGATGCATATACTATCAATGGCCTACCAGGACCTTTATATAATTGTTCATCGAAAGGTATAATCAGCGATATTGCTCTGACTCTCCGAAACTGACGTTGAATTCGCATCAGATTGTCCAAAAATGCACAACTTTTGGATGATCTGACACAGACCTAACGACATTTTTGAAGAGTCTGAATAATAATGACAACCACATTACATACTGTTGCTAATGTGTGACAATCTTATCTAAAAGTTAAAGTTGTTAGAGATATGACTACACTTTGAAATAATATCATGAGTTTGAGTCTTGTAAATAGTAGTTATCAAAAAGAATCACGTGCTTAGTCTATGAAAAAGAATCAGTCTAATGGCTTAAGCTTTTACGTGAGATAATCACATGCTACGACACATATTAGCGTATGTCATTTTCAAATTAACATATCATGTTTCTTCAGATACATTCAAGTTGAAGGTGAAGCCAGGAAAGACTTACATGCTACGATTAATCAACGCTGCACTAAATGATGAAATGTTCTTCAGCATTGCCAATCACACCCTCACCATCGTTGATGCAGACGCTATTTACACCAAACCATTTAACACAAATGTAGTATTCATCACCCCTGGACAAACCACCAATGTTCTTCTCAAAACGAAGCCACATTACCCAAACGCCACCTTCCTAATGGCGGCTCAGCCATACTTCTCCGGTCTAGGAACTTTTGACAACTCTACTGTTGCCGGTATCCTAGAATATGAATCCCCTTTACATAATTCTCCCACCAACAAAAGTAAAATCAAACTTTTTAAACCAACCTTACCAAATATAACTTCAACAAGTTTTGTTGCCAATTTCACCAAGAACTTTCGTAGCTTAGCTAACACTCCATTCCCAGCAAACGTTCCACTAAACGTTGACAAGCGTTTTCTCTTTACAATAGGACTTGGTTCTAATCCATGCCCCAAAAACATGACATGCCAAGGACCTAATGGCACTAAATTTGCAGCATCAGTAAACAACATATCGTTTATCCTTCCAACGACAGCACTACTCCAATCTCATTACTTTGGACAATCGAATGGGATTTACACCACAGATTTTCCGGTTACCCCTCTAAATCCATTCAACTATACAGGATCACCACAACCAAACAACACATTTGTAACCAACGCAACAAAAGTTGTTGTCTTACCATTTAATTCGAGTGTTGAGGTTGTGTTACAGGACACTAGCATACTCGGTGCTGAAAATCACCCCCTTCACCTCCACGGTCACAATTTCTTCGTTGTTGGTGAAGGATTTGGTAACTTTGATCCTAATAATGACCCATCTAACTTCAACCTCAAGGACCCTATACAGAGAAACACAGTTGGTGTCCCTGCTGGTGGATGGATTGCTTTTAGATTTTTCGCGGACAATCCAGGTAATAATTAACAACTTTGTTTGTAAACAAATGAATATACAAATCATAATAATGATCGTAAATTGTGATGTATCAAACAGGAGTATGGTTTATGCATTGTCATTTCGAGGTGCACACAAGCTGGGGACTAAGGATGGCTTGGATCGTGTTAGATGGATCGTTACCTAGTCAAAAGTTACCTCCTCCGCCTTCAGATCTTCCTAAATGTTGAACAAGAACATAAACTCAACTGCTCATTTCGCGATTTCTTGAGTGTTTTGATCTTCCTTTATTTATTTTTTTTCGGAAAATTTTCCTTCATTAAGTTAATGTGTTATTACATTCTTTTTTTGTTACATTGAAATAATTCAAGAGAATTATGATCAACAAATGTTCTGCATCAACATGAATGCAATCCTATTTGTGTAAGTACGCAAACCTTATCCCTATCTTTCTGAGGGTAAATAGTCTGTTTTTTCATTAGACGGTTTAAATTGAAAATGTAAATGATTTTCACCCTTTAGGCACCATTCTCGATTATTCTAAATGCAAGAAATATTAGGATAATTTGAAAGGAAGGTGATAATTTTATTAATTCTCGTTATTCATTTCAAAACATATTCAAATCCAAAATAAGAAAACATTAACAACTTAGAAAAT